TACAAAATTGTATTTGAATTTGTTTTAAGTATGAAAACATATATATATGTAAATAAAATGTGCAAATCTAAATTGATATTTATTTAGCCTCTGCAGAGTATCTATAAAAAGCATGACACTTTGTCCAACACTTGCTCACAGGTAGCTGGCTACCTGTAAATTTCATGGGCCGCAGATAAAGCTTATTAAAACACGACCACGAAAATCTGCGCAAAGTATTTAAAATGTTGAAGCAGCCATAACAAATTATATTAATACGCAACCATGTTGTTTAGTGTGTACACACGTATACGCCCCGTGTGGCCCTCCCAGGGGACAAGTTTGTCAGCCAGGTGGGGCTGGTCTGGGTTGGGTTTGGGTTTGGGTTGTCCAACAAAATCTACTTCATTTAGCTTGGCGCCGGCCAGACGATTTTGACATTTTATTACCAAACAAAAGGCAACAAAAAGCCAAAGCCAAAGCCAAAGCCAGGCAGCACTTCGGCTGGAACAGGTGGAGCTGAGGAGGCTTTGAGCCATGACTCACTGGGCTAACAGCGTCTATTCAAACTGGCTTACTCGCTGTTTTGCAGACAACTTTGTCAGCGAGCATTGGGGGTAGAATTTGATGACCGTGTTGCCAGCATGTTGTTTTTTCCGCTGCCTTTGTCTTTAATAGAGTTTATTTATAATATTATATTAGAATACAAGTCTAGTTTTGTTGTTGTTGTTGCTTTTATAGCTGTCTATCAAACGAAAACTTTACATATTGCACATCAATCTAGTACCAGTTTGTAACTGTCTGTATCCTATATACTTGATCTATTCTAGTAAAAGTTGGCACATTATGCAATTAGGGGTTGGAACAGCCCATAAAGTGTGCGTGGGCGATAAAAGTAGGCTATAACAAGTGTACTTAGGTGCAAGATATGGTGCCCCATAGCAAATTGACAAAGGTCAAATTTATTTTTACTTTATGTAATAATTAAGCTGACGCAAATGTGAAGTGTTCATATTAATGTATATAAGTAAATATTTTGTTATTTTCTTAAATGTATTATAATTCAACATTATTTATGTAATTTTACTATTTTTCATTTTATTAAACTCATTCATTTTTTAAATTCAAATGAATTAAAATGAATTTAATTTAATTGTTTAATATATATTTAAAGACGAAAAAAAAGAAGAGCTTTTGTTGCCGCATTTCGTTGATGCCTCGAGTACGCTGGCTGTCTGTTGTCTTTC